GGATTCGTATGCCTCTTCTCTCACGTGTGTTTGTATTAAATGTTGAGATTATTTTTGAATGTATTCATACTATTTCTAATAACAACCCACTCTTGCATTGGAATTCCATTTATTAATCACTCGAACTTAAAGAAAGAAGGGCGATCAATATTTTCAAACCCTTTAAGAATTTAAAAAAAACAACTTTCTTGTAGCCCAAGCTGAGTTTTACGTTCTTCATAAGGCAACTTTATAAGTTCAGTCACAAGTTTAGTGAATCTCTAGTAAAATGAAGATTAGAGTAACTAAATTATTGTTAATTTAAAAATATGGAGCAAAGAACACAGCCAATATATATTTTTTTAAGTAGAGAGCAATACAATAATATAATTACCGGTAATTCACGGATGAACATTATAAAAACTATGGTTTCAATTGTGAAGTGCGTACTTTTAACAAATTAATTAAGAATTGGAACTTAATCTTCAGTTATTATGAGCATACATGAGTTTAGCATAAAACATTAGGTAGCCATTGACATGGTGTTGAAATTTGGATGATACCGGTACTATTTTTAAATTGCTCTAGAGAGTGGCGTATCAACACACGGCAGCAGTCAGAAACAACGTTTGAAAACAAAATATAGATGGTGTGTGCAGTTAAAATGGGGAAGGAATTTAGGCTTCAGTTGAATTTAAGCAAATGCCGTGATGATGTGCCAGGCTGGTTATGGAGTTGGCCTATTTTCATTCATTATACCTATAATCGGTGTCACACAGCCTAATATAGGCTCATGCGGACATTGTAATTTGTCTGAACAAACACAACCTCAGGACGATAAAAGAACTGAACTGACACTGTCTTACAAAAAGTTAAAATAAACTGATTCAATTCGGTAAGTCTTCTAACAATGTTACCATATTGCATATGGGTTTCCCAATGATATATAATTTTGCTATACGCTGGAATAGTAATTATCACAATGCAAATTACTATTAATGGTAAGTATTTATGACTAATTATTTACTTCACATTATCTCTGAAAACTCATATTATCAACAATAACTTCATATGGTTACCGTAACTTTATCAAATTTAACTACCACTTTGAATCATTATATATTATTTTAACATTCCAAAAATTAACGAATATATAGCATGAAAATAAGATTATAGTAAGTTAATAATTATATAAATCAGAAAAATAACTAAGAGCAAATTGATATAACGTTCAACTGTCCGCTTTCAGACACCCTGCACAAGAACGATAAAAGTTTTCCCCCCACAGTTATTACATTCACAGGATCTTCCTGGTCGGCTCTGTTGTATTTATTAGCTTTCAACCGTCGATTCGCCAATTCTGCATTAAAGTGGCCTCCAATGCATCAAACACTCAGACTATCTTTCTAGTATCCCAGCTTATTAGCTTCATAAAATTCACTAATTCTGAATTTAGTTACCATGAGTAAGGTTCAGCATACACCAGGGTTTCTTCCTGCTATTTCGAGCTTATTAGCTCCACAAAATTCATTAATTCAGAATTAAACTGCCTTACTTAAATTCAGGGTTGATTTCTCCCTGGTTTCCAAGCTTATTAGCTATACAATAGATATAACTAGCAGGTATCTTGGAAAAAAGGTTTCCATCCATTCAGGTCTACAGTTTTATCATTATAAAATAACAGGGAAACAAATTGTTCTTATCTCACCCGCAATGTCTGTAGGCTGGTATAGTGTAGGCATGGAACATGTTATTGTTGTCTTTAAATGCAACATCGATTAATTATTCTGGACTGACATGTCCTTTCCAGTGGCGGCTCTAGGATATATTTTCTGGGGACGAAGTTGTCCGACAGGGGGTGAGAGGCTTGAGCTCGTAGGCTCGGGCTGGAGCAAGGGGTTGAAAGGGAGTTCCCCCTCCCAAATGAGATTTTTAAAAAAGAATATCAACCTCTGGATGGCCGAAAATGGCACTCTCAGACTGTGACAGACATGTGTTGGCTTGGTGTGGGCCTATTTTTATATGTTTTATGGTCTGACTGCCCAACGAGCTCTGTCCGGCGGGGTGGAGGGGGCTTGACCTGTCCGGTGGGGGACTTAAGCCCCCTGCCCCAGCTGGCGCCGCCACTGGTTCTTTCCCTGCTTTCTCACAAGTCACTCTCTAAACCCCCTTCATCCAGTTCTAGCCAACACCCCACCAAAAATTCATATCTCATTACTATTCATGCACTCCCATCCAATCAGTGCTTCACACCACTAACCGAAACTCATTTGCATCTCTGCACTCATTTGCATTACCTCATTTAAATTCATTTCTCATTCAGCCAATCAGTAACTCACACACACACAGGTTTCTCAAAGAATACTTTACCTTATTACTATATTAGACTGGAAATTGGCTGCTGTGTGTTAAAGTAAGGTTAGCGGTTCAAAGAAAATACTTACTAATAAACTAAAATAGATATCACTTGTGACAATCAGGATG